AGCCCAGTCATTCCACCCGAAGGTCTACTAGTTTGTTCCGTCAGACCGCGAGGCTGGCGCAATGATGACGATCGACATGTTTCAAAATTTGCCGAGCAAGGTTGAGGTCACTGGCACCTTTTGGTTCCGAATGGATAACCAGTGAGAATTTTGCACTTGGAGAGAACGAAGAAAGCATTGTGCATGTACAACATACAACATAGGTTGTAATGCGATGTATTTAAACATGTCATATTATCTCACGGCTGTGAACTGTCGTTCGCGGTACCTAAAAGTACCATGATGCTTTGGCCTACAGAGCACAAAATAAGCATCAGAGATCCTCGTTTCGGATTCTTCCGTCACTTTTTCCATTGCTTCTAGAAGCATCATGCGCGGAGAATTATCACAGGTCGATATTGTATCATGAATGTCACTCATGTTGTGAATGTACAATATGTGACATGAAACGAGACGGGAAAGAATCTCGTCCCTGGCGATCACCGTCTTCAGACGACTTTTTTTGGATTCATCACTCGCCAAGGCATGTTGTTAGCCTTGTTATCAGAATACAGGGTCCCGCTAGAAACAATGGAATCAGTGTGTGTGTAAGAGATAGGAAGAGTCATCCTATTAAGAACCCTTGGGCCTCTGAGGACAGCATGGCTGCCGTATCACAACATCGCGTCTCGTCGCAAACAGCCTCCTGCATATCCACGACGGAAATGCAATGTCAAACTGCTGTCACGAGCGTTTGCATGCAGGGCAGTGCAGACTCGCAGCGAATACACAGGCATGTAAACACGATGCACAAAATAAACAGCCGCATGCATCTGTCAAGAGTCACCGTTTGTAGTCCGTTGCACGCGGATGAATAGATGCCCAGTCTCTGTGACCAGGAAAGATGCAGCAAACGTTGAACAGGTGCATTTTCTTTATCTTTATAGTTGTATGCTAGCTATACCTGCATCGTTTGTGGTTCTATTATGTCTTCGTGAGCTATCCATATGTGATGATAAGATGGGCCCTGATCCTCCCCTTGTGGCCCCGAATCAAATATCAAATCTCTTTGCACCAACGCGCCATCACAGCACTTAACCGGACACCGGGTGCCGCGGCAATCTCTTCGAGCGCCACCTCGGTCCGCCACATGCTGCGGCCCTCCAGACCGCTTGTCACCAGCGCGTTGCTGGGCCGGCCGGGTCCGCGGGCGCGGGCGCTCGCACCCATCCCCGCCGGGATCAGCAGACTCAGTGCGGCTAGACGTTCCCAGGCGCGCGAGGCGACACCGCGGCCCCATACGCGTGCACCGCCGCCAACAACGGTGCCACCGACGGTACTGGAACTCCCACCGGGCGGCCGGCCGACCCCGCGGCCTGAGCCCACACCGGAGCCGGCCAGGGACGACTGGACGCGCTGTCGACCCATGAGGGAGACGTACTCGTCGTAGGCCATGGCAAAATTGACCGTGTCGGTGCTGAGGACGATGTCGAGACGGGCGGCGGCAATCAGCAGGGACAGCTCGAGTTCCGAGAGTGCAGCCAGCAAGTGCAGTTTGGAGTCGGGCGGTGCGAGCGGGAGCGGGTCGATGTCGTCCAGGGACGTGTTCTTTGTGATCTTTATTGTGGACGACGCAGCCAACGCAGCCAGAGACGGCCGGCCGACACTGCGGGGGCCTTCGGCCGAGAAGGCACTGCCCGCAGCAGCAGCACCACCGCTCAGTGCGGCCTCGCCCACGGGGGGGAGCTTGAGTCGCGGTGCCGTCGATGACACGGCTGCCAACGGCATGATGCATGTCGTCCAAAAGGCCGCGACAGACTTTGTGCTGTAAAAGTGGAAGGCGAGCTGCTCCTGGAAATGGTCGTCGTCCTTGACGCTGTCGATCATGTGCTTCCACCACTGGCGGAACTCGGCGTAGCCCTCTTTCTCGTCGACATCCATGGCGATGTCCACTGCCTTGGGCCCGGCGCTGTCTTTGTCGTCGTCGCTGTCTTCGATCACAAGACCGTGGCGGCAAATGTCCCAAAACGCGGGCAGGCTGCGCGCGAGCGGCAGGTAGACGTACCGGTGGCTGAACCGGCTCTTGACACGCTTTTCGAGGCTCTCCACGACGTCGATCTTGGTGGTGAGGCCGAGCACGGCAATGGGCGCTTTGCGGGCCTGGGCAATGTCAAACAGATTGTAGAGCAGGGTCTGGCGCGCGTGCGTGGCAAAACGGTCAAACTCGTCCATGACGAAAACGACGGCCGTCGACGTCACGTCTGGGGCACCATCGCCGTCCTTTTCCACGGCCCCCGTGCCAATGGCGGCTCCTTGAATCTCGGAGGGGTGCGAGAGCAGAGCTAGCAGCGAGGCCAACGTGTCCGCGTAGTTGTTTGTCTATGCTGTTAGTACGGGAGGAGGGCCACGAGGAAGGGCGGTAAGGACCGGTGTAGGCTGACCTTGTTAACGACATCGTCCTCCACGGCCATTTCTTTTCCGAGCTGCCGCCAGATCTCGCGCAGGGCGAGCTTGTCATCGGTGTGGATAAATCCATTAAGCCGGACCACATGGAAGGCGCCGCCGTGCTCGGCAGCCAGAGCACCCAATATGGACTCGATCATCTATGCATGTCAGTGATTTTCTCTTCAATTATGCGAAGAACAAAGAAAAGGCCCGCCCCCTCACCCTAGTATGGACTGGGACTGGACTTACCGTTGTCTTGCCCGTGCCTCGCGCACCAATAACCATCATGGAATTACCCTCGCCAGCCACAACCGTCTGCTTCACCACCTGGTAAACCTTGTCGTAGGCATCGTCCTGGCCCTGCAACCGAACACGCTGGCGGCCCGTACAACGGCCAAGCAAGACTCGCTTCATCTTGGCGAGGTGGTGCTCAAAGTTGGCAATGTCAGGCGCCAGGTCGCGAGCGGCGGCAGCAGCGGCGGCGTCGTCCTTGTCTGTTAAGTCAGCGGCAGACTCCTCCCCCACTGAGTCCGTCCGTTGGTTACCGGCAGCCGTCTCCAGAGTATCGTCGTTCTGCTGCCGCAGACATATTTTGCAGAACCAATCGCCCTCTGGTATGACAGGCACGTTGTAGCATTGCTGGTGCACGGCGAGATCGCACGTCTCACAAAAGATAATCTCATTGGGCGGTTCCGAATCGGGTTTGCTGCAGATGGCACAGACGTCGCCGTCGGTGTCGTCACTGCTGTCTCCTCCTTCTGCCGGTGCGCTGTCCGTCTGTGGGATGTTCTGCACCAACTGGTCTAGAGGCTTTGTCGAAGTATCCTTCGTCGCTGTACCAGCAGCCTCCTTGGAAGTGCTCTTTGCCCTAGAGGCTCGCTTCGGTACTGGCTTTTCAGTGGTTTTGGCTGGTGTTGCTTTTGCCCGAGATCGTCTGGTGGAAGCGGGCGTAGCTTCGTCTCCTTTTTCTGTGTCTGTAATGGCCGTCCCGTTTGTCTTTTCTCTGGGTGAGGCGGGCGGCTTCGGAGGCGTGTCTGTTGTCGAAGAAACCTTCGCTGCAGTTGTTGACCGGGCCCTCCTTCTCGTCGATGTAGGAGCAGGAGACGCTTCTGTAGTCGTGAGTGCCACAGCAGGCGCCACGTCCGGCTCCACAGCCAGTGCCGGTGATGCTGCTGCTGTCGCACCTCCATTTACCGCCTTGCCTCGGGAGCGACTTTTACTGGCGCTGTTCGGGGTGCGCGCGTTGCCTATCTCGCGGTCCACGTTCATGGGCGTAGTGCGCACCCGGTCGCGTCGAGATAGACGGCCTCCCTCGAGCCCGGCCGCCATCTTGTCGGTGCCGTCAATGGCCAGGTCCTCCAGGAGGTCGCGTCTCTTCTTCTTATTCTTGTCGGTCGCCGTCTTTGTGGTCGCCGGCGCCGTTTTCATTGCGGACGGCGTCTGTGTTTGTTTCTTTGAGGGTGTGTCGGGCGTCGGCGACGCGGATCCGACGAGCGTGTTTTCTTCCACATCGGATTCGAGCGCAGCGCGTGTTGGTCTATTGGACGCATTCGCATCGCCCCCCTCGTCATCGGGAAAATCGTAGAGCTTGTCAAGGTCGTCGTCTTGCGTCGTTCGTGTGTTGCGCTCATGTAGCAGGGACGCAAACGGCCGCGCCAGTAGCCGGTCGCGCGCCTGGCCGCGTGCTCTGCCGGCATCTTTGCTGGCACCCACCAGGCTGCCGACGCCGTAAGCCAGGGCACCCGTGATGGCCGATGCCACGGCGTGGACGGTCCTCGGCGTCTGGGGGGTCGTGGCAATGTTGGCTCCGGGGAACAGGGCCGCGTCGTCGCTGGCACTGGTCCGGTTCGCGACCGATGCCGTCGAGTGACTGTGTGCCAACCTCTGCCGCTTCACTGTGCCCGTCGCCTCAGCGGTCCCAGTCAGGGGCACATTCTCGTCAACAGCATCATTGTTGCCGTCTTCAGACCGCGCCCGTTTCCTCCCAATAGCGCCCGACATGGCTCCAGGCTCTAGCTCTAGGCGTGTCGACCGTCACAGGGGCATTGCCTGTCCACTGCGTGTATTTTCTGTCGTCTCCGTATCTGTTGCGGTCCAAGTGAAGTTAGGGTTTGTCGTTGTTGGTCGTTGGTTAGGTGTTGTTGGCCGTCTTTCATCTATTAGACACTGTAGCAACTGACACTTGTACCTGGAACCAAAAGCCAACAGGAAGGAGCTTCTCAGTGAGCGCGTCGCAAACCGCTAGCAAGTGCGGGAAACAGGGGCCAACAGCCTGCGCAACGTGCACCAATGTGGCGCTAGTTGTTCCAGGGGGTTCAGGTTTAATTGATATCACGTGTTTTCGCGTTTTCGATTTGGTGATTTGTGAACAACCGCTGCATTGGAGATCAAATGTGGCGTGTGGGGTCGTGTTCCAAACGCCACCGTTGCTTTCAAAGTGACCTGTGGGGTTCACACCAGGCTGCAAGGACAAACGAGGCGTCATATGGCTGGCACTTTCATGAAGAGACTTTTCGGCGCTGTCGTCTTCCAATGTTCTCGCGTCACAACATTTTGACAGGGACCATGTCGACACAATGGACGCCTTCGTGACAAGACAGACAAAACGGAAGCTGGGATCGCCATCTCCACCGCCAGTGGACCCGACGACGCCATGCATTGGCCGGGTAGACTTACCAGAGACGACTGCGTTTGTCGATGAAGACGACGAGTCGACCGAGGTCAAGCTGGCGATACTGGCCTCCCTCCTCGCCGGCGAGGGCGGCGGCAGTGGCAGTGTCGATATTCATCAAGACATGCTTCTCGAGCTGCTGTTGGCCCATGAAGGATCCGTGGAGGCTGCTGTCGATGCATTCCACAGCCGGCCAGACAAGTGGAGACACAAGAAGAAGCTGAAGTTGGACGGCGTAGTTGGACAGCAGACCTCGTTGCGCAGTTTCGTCCCGCAGACAAACACTGCATCACCTGAGAAAAAGGCAGGCGGTGGCCCTGCCACGACCCTCTTGTCCCGGCGCGGCCGCACGCTGCACCTGTACGACCCGGTCGACATCGAGGCCCACACGCCATGCACGCTGGTGCACAACTTTTTGCCGCCGGACATGGCCAACGACTTGTTGCGCGAGATGCTAGCCGAGGCCAAGACGTTTGGCGCGCCGTACACATTCAAGCTGTTTGACCAAACTGTGTCCAGTCCACACACGTCTTGCCTTTATCTCGAATCGGCTGCTGAGGCGGAAGAGGCGAGAGCCAGCAGCGGTGCCGGCACAAGCAACGAGGGAGGGTACCATCCCACTAGCCAAAATCAAACGGGCCAGCAGTTATCCCTTGACAAACCAAACGACGAAACATTTGTACTCGCTACGGACACACACGAGGGATACCGCTACAACGGCTCGCGGCTGTCGGACATCCGCACGGTCACGCCGCACATGGCTCGCGTGCGACCGCTGGTGGAAGCCGCTGTGAATCAGGCCATTCAGCGGCGCATAGCCACGCACTATCCTGGCGGCCGCAAGCTGCGTTACCAGAACCTGCGGCCGTGGCGGCCAAATGCGGCATTTGTCAACTGCTATAACGGCGGGCAGGAGAGCGTGGGATGGCACAGTGACCACCTGACATATCTGGGCCCGCGGGCCGTCATTGGGTCCATGTCGCTGGGCGTAGCGCGCGAGTTTCGCGTGCGTCACATCGTGCCCCGTGATCCGTCCAAAGACCCAAAGAACACAAAGGATGCAAAAGAAGACGACGCCGCTGGACAGATCAGCATCCACCTGCCACACAACTCTCTGCTCATTATGCACGCTGAGATGCAAGAGGAGTGGAAACACTGCGTGACGCCCGCACCCTCCATTGACCCGCATCCCATTTCTGGGATCAAGCGCATCAACGTCACCTACCGCGACTATCGTGCTGACTTCCACCCCAATTACATTCCCCGCTGTAAGTGTGGCATTGCATGTGTGCTTCGTGTTGTGCAGCGGAAGCTAGAAAACCACGGTCGCTACTTTTGGATGTGCCATGCTGGCAACATACCAGATCGCGAAGGTTGCACATTCTTTCTGTGGGCCGAATTTGACGATGATGGGGTCCCTGTGTGGAAACTCAAGGATAAAGAGAGAGAAAAGGCCGGCATGGGTTATACAGATTAACCCGGTCAAAGAATGAGACGTATATGTATATTTGGAGTGTCGAACGACCGACCAACACAGGCCAAAACAAAAGCTGACTTAAAGACAAACGAAGTCGGACAACGTTATTGCGTCAACAAAACGATTTGGTACAAAGCTTTGCCTCTCCAGTCACAAAACTATACACACGAGGCCTATCGCCCAGAGCACCATTGCCCTCTTAGAAATAAGCTCACAAGTCGAACCTGCAATCACCTAACAATAAGACATGTTATGAGAACCAACCTGGCCAGGGCCACTTGCCGGACCTCTTGCTAACGGTACTGCTGCGGCTGCTGCTGCGAATCCCGCTGTAGTCCTGCATCCGATCGCCGCAGTTCTCACTCTTCAAACTTTGCTCGGATGGCACAAGGGGCACATTCTGGAGGTTAGTTGTGTCCATGCCAACGAGACGCCGAATGTTGCGGGGTGCCGCGTCCGGGATTGCCTGCCTTGGACCGCCTGACGCCAATCGCGAAATTTTCGACCGTGGCAAAAGACATCCTGGAGATGGCGGGTCGGAGTCAGTGGGAATGTTGGCGGACGATACCGACAATCGCGGGACCTGCGAGAGAGAAACTCGCTTCTGGGATATTGACGATGACGCGGATCGCTGTGCTGCGTTGTCTGAAGTATGCTGGTAATCCTTCTTCGGCATTCTCACAGGTATTATCGGTTGCTGACTCTGGCCAAGTGACGTATTCCTCGCCGGGCGTTGTCCGCCCTCTTGACGGTCGCTCTTCTTGTTTGATGGCTGGTGAGAATGAGATACCGCGCGAGGGGTCACTTCGTCCAGGCTACCATCCTGAGTGCCGTTCTCGGGGGTACTAGGACGCCATGTCTGGGACGGGGATTGGGATTGATGATTGGTGTGGCGTGCTGCCGTGTCCCAGGTCCTGAATGTTTTGTCTGTCCGCCGTAGCATCCTCACCTCGATCGAGGTGGCAATTCTCTTGGCCATCTCCTTAGCTGCTGCCGGGCCCCAGTGCTTGGCAACGATGTCGACTAAGGGACTACCACCAGGCGGTGCGGCGGACGGCGACCACATTGATGATGAGTTCTGCTGCATTACCAATGCCGTCACCGTTGTCTCGATAGTAGTGCGAACCTCGACGCACCCGCCGTCACGATCCATGGGATCTCTGCCAACGTCGCGCTTGGGAAACCCGGAGTGGGAATACGTGAGCTGGATTTGCATGTACTCTTGGGAAGTGGACCCGAGATGGAGCTCCAGGTCCTCCAGCAGCTGATCAGACGTACTACTGTGTGAGAGCGGGCGATATTCCTGTGATTCTGCTGCCTGCTTCTTCTTTGTCATGTCAAGATGGACATGGACCACCATGAGGCGCCGTGAGCCGGGAAGGAGCGTCCTAGTGTTACAGGCACATAATTAGCATTACCAGTGGCACCGAAACTGGCATATGTCTTTGCTCGGCCTTACAAAAGACTGGGACTTTTCCCAATGACCTCAAGGATCTCGCTTTGGTACGACGAGATGATCTTTATATCCATATTGGAAATGTATCCGAAGCGGTAGAGGCCTAGTATGTATATGCATTAGAAAGTCGCTAATAGAAAAGAACATATCTGAGAGACATCTACAGGACGAGTCACCTTGGTCGTCGTCTGTGGCAAACGATGATGTTGAGGCTTGACGGTAGTCTTGTCGAAAACGGTGGTCGCGAGACGAGCCCGTGTCCAACGGCTGTGTGACGTGGGCAAAGAGCTCGATGGCGACCCAAAAACTGTTCACATCACCCTCGACTGTTCTGCACTCGGGCGTGACTGAGACGATGGGGACCAAGATCTGTGGGTCAACCTCAGCACGAACCTCGGATTTGGCACTGACCTGGCTCAGTCTGCGGCTCAGGTGGCTTCGAGATGTGTCTTGGCAAAAGTGCAAGGACTCGGATGCGCGATGACTCTTGTAGGGGCTGTTAAAAGGTATTGCAGTACGGGGCCGCGCATATGGCTCCGGCTGGAACAGTTCAGGACCGGTGGCAAGAATATCCGAGGTTGACACAGGCCGGCTGTCATACGTGTGCTGCCGGTGAGACTGGCGAGGATGGAGCCCTGAGTGAGTCAGAAGCTCGTTGTATGCACCGTGTCTACCAGAAGAGGCAGGCAGCATGCCCGTGCGTCTCCCACAGTCGTTGGGAGGCCAAATGAAGCACTCGTCACTATGTGGACTGTACGTGTCCTTACTTTGAGCATCGTACTCGCCCTGCTGATTTCGGCAGACGTCGCCTATGCCGGCGCTATCTGCCTCACTGCTGAGACGCATCCTCTGGAAGTTGTCCAAGGCATCTTCTTCTTCGTAAAGACGGCTGCTACCATGACTGGACGACGGCCGCAACGAGTGCAGGCCGTAGTCGGGTTTTTCTTGATGATTGTTAGGCCGGTCTTACTCAAAGTGACTTCTACATTGGAACGGACTAACCTGCTCGATATCCGTCTCTCAGATACTGCGTCCGGACAGATGCAAACCCACCGCTAGCCTCAGACCTGCCGTTCATCATGCCGATGTCACTGTGATCACTCCCTGAGCCGAAACTGTCCGTGTCGTTCCGCCTGCGTCTTGCCATGCCGGCCGCATGGGCCTCGGGTGCAGCATAAAAGCGGCTGGCGCCTCCATCTACCTGCGAAAGCAGGGTCCTCCGCTTTTTCGGGATGCTCAAGGACCGCTGGGGCGCACCGGAATCTTCTTGGATGCTGTCCATGCTCTCATCTGTGGCCGCACTTGCTCGTCTGGAGAGCTGGTCGTGGTCGGACCCGGAACCGTGGGCACTGTCGCTGGCTGAGGATTGAATTGGCGGATTGGACGTGCGTTTGATGATCCGCAGAGGACCTGGCTGTCTATCGCCTTCGTCCATGGCTGCCGAAGAGTGAAGGGACATTTACAGCCTTGTAATGTCGTTTTGAGGATTGACGATCAATTCCAAGATGCAGCTCCAAAAATCCAAGGGCGCGTAAGGATAGGAGGGACTGTGGCAGACTGGAAAGCTGAGAAGCCCAAGTGCGGCGTGTTGTTTGTTTACATTTACTTCTCTGTCGTGTCTCGCACTTGAAAACTACAGGAAATTGCAGGAACGCATTTCGCACGAGTCGCGCCTTCTTCACATACAAATGTAAGACGACGACCTTCTAATCTCAGCAAGGGTCGAGAGTTCTAGATGTGGAAAGGGCGACTAGGAAGACTGGAACCATTGGGTTGTCTTACAAAAATGGACAGACGAAAAAGAACGTAATCCAAGGAAATTTGCAAAGTAAATAATAAAGTTGACATTCACAAGGAACCACCACCTCAACGCCCAGCCTGGGAAAGCACAAGTTAAAGTTCGTCACAGTAAAACCCGGAGAACATAAATCGTACGAACGACCATTCTCATGACACCTCGGCGCCCAGCGTCCGTTTCAGGTTATCCTTGACGGCCTCAATTTCACTGTCATCCATGGACAGGAAGCGGATCTAGGGGGTCAGCTAACGTTGTCCTGAATTTCCTTTTTTTCGATGGGGAGGGGAGTTTGCTTTCCTTACCACATCATCGGCAGCACCCGCACTGCCAAAAAGAACCGGCTCCGAGAGGCTCGTACTGATGCCCTTCTTGACTCGCTCTTCCCAGACGTGCTCCCAGTTCCACTCGCCAGGTTTCTGGGGCGGTGGAGGTGGAGGCGGCGGCAGTGGTGTTTGAGCAGCGGCCGCGTGAGAGCCGGCTGCGTCACGGTTGGCCGTTTCCTTCTGTGTCTGGTGCCGGTGCGTCCGCCACGCATTCCAGGCGCCTGGGTTGCCGGCGGCCTCGAGCGGGATGGCATCGAGGACATCGGCATCGTCAAAGGTGCTGCGGATGTACTGCAGGACGTCGTAGGTGGACACGGTGGGGCCGGCCGGCGGCTCCGTCAGGAGGTACGAGGGGGTCGTGCTTGTTGGTGTAAATGAAGACCGCTGGCTTTGGCCGCGCCGAGTGCCGCCCGAGGGCGAGACACCTGACACGGTCGACGACGGTGTGGGTGTGTTCTGGGCACTGCCCGTGGGCGCCGTAGAACGCGGCGGCGTCTGTGGTCGCAGCGGAGACGACGAGGGTGAGGATATCGGTTGCCCCTGACTCTGACTCTGGGACTGCGCCTGGGACGGAAGTTGTTGCTGGCCGCTGAGACGCTTGTTGCGGTTGCCGCGGCCGAACCAGGCAGGAAACCCATGACGCAGACTGAAACCGCCCGGCGGCAGACGCTCTTCGTCCGTGGCGCTGACGGTCCCGTTGTCTTGAATGTCGGTTGTGTAGGTGTATGTTGTGAGGGGGGTGATGAGCGGGTGGAAGATGTCGGTGGCGAACGTCACGAGCGGTGGGAGGCTCGGGTACGAGTCGGGAAAGGAGATCTGGAAACGCAGAACAGCGGGCGCATACGGGCCTGCAAAGGATGCTGTCAGCTCATCCAGTTCCTAGCCTGGACAATAATAAAAGTGCCAGAGAAGCGGACACGTACCGTCACGGACAAAGATGACGCCGGACCACAGAGACGGGTCGCCGGGCGTCAGCGTCATGAACACACCCTCTGGACATGCTTGTTTGAGGCCGGAGCTGCAGCGGTGTGGTCAGCGGCGGCGATATAGAACGGGACCGGGGCACGGCCCAGGGGCGCCTATTTCGTGGGCGGAGACCTACAACTCGGCAAAAAGGTTCTGTCGCCGTAACGTTGGCAAACTCGTGAATCGTGATGTGGCCATGGCCGTAAGAATGGCATATTGCTTCCCTCAAGATGAGGAAGTGAAGAGACGTCCACGTCGTGATCGCTCGACAAACGACATGTGTTTCCAAAAGATCGACGGGTTCATGCGCATCTACCCAGCAAGGTGAGATGCGGTCGGAAAAGGGAAGGCGGTGAGCTGGGCGGTGGCCAAATACTGCCGGTCCACTTGAGCTTGAAGCTCGGCTCTAGCGTCGCAGGCCATTCTGCCCAGTGAGGGGCAGTGGGTGAGGGGCTAATTGTGCACGGCGGTGCTACTTGGTGCTTGAGTGAAGTCATCGACTCGGCAGCATATCGATAGGTACCGTTGCTGTCGACCATGGCATCGTATGCAGTGGCTAGGTTTTGTTTGCATTTTATATTTTGTTTCAAGTTACTCTATTTACAAGTAGAAAGGAAGGATATGAAACCCGGACCAGACTATAACCTTTCAAAGCCGTAGACGGTAAATATAGCATATTCGGAAAGCGAGGCAACATACGAAGAAAACAGTCAGCGACACAGGCGCACCCTACCTACGCGCCCAACCGCTTCTCAATCTTGGCCTTCTCCTGGTCCTTGATCTGCGCCACCTCCGCCTTGTTCGCGTCGTACCGCGCCGTCACTTGGTTGAACGGGTTCTCTGGGCTCTTTTCAAACTCCTTGCGGATCTTGTCCTTGCGCTGGTTCAGGCGCAGGCCCTTGCTCGAGCCGTCGGCGTCCATTTCGGCCAACCGGCGCTCCTCAAATGCCGCAAAGGCAGCCTTGAAGCGACGCTCCGGGTGGCGGTCAATGGGGCCTGCCCCACCGGCGGCGGCGCTGTCAAGCGAGAGGGCGTCGAGCGCGTTGTCGATGCCGGTGGCACTGACGGCAGTCAGCTTCTTGTCCGCCGGGGCGGCGTCGTCGAGCTGGGACAGGTCGAGGCCTCGTGACGGTGCAGCAGTGGTCTTCTTGGTGGCGGACTTGGCGTTCTTTGGGGCGGCGCGGCCGGGTGTGTTCTTCTCTTCCTCAGCGAGCAGGGTATCGCGCTCGGCCCTTTTGCGGGCTAGTTCTGCCTTTTTCGCAGCCTCGGCCTCCCTAGTCCGGTTGTCCACGGGTTAGTCGACAAGAACAAACGACATCAGGTTAAGAAAAAGCACAGTGTTGTAGGGGCCGACGTGTCTGCACAAATCAAGCGATGCAACGTGCAACGGACGACGTGGGGACAGACAACGCGAGACGGACAGCCGAACGAAAAGAGCACGATACATCGGCAGCAAACTGGCGCAACCATAAGAAACCGTCACAGCGCGCATCGTTTCGTGTATCTGTCCACGACCTCCTCGCTCGCCCTCCATGTCGCTGCAAGGTGTCGTTGCAAGGCTGCCACACCAGCGGGAGTGCTATCCGGTGGGCCGTCGCGTGTCCACCCCCATGCCCATGATCCTGGCATACGAAATAAAGAAGAGAGAGAGAGAGAGAGAGAGAAACTCACTTCTTGCCGGCACCTTTGGCGCCCTTGGACCATTCAGCAGCCTCGTCAGCCTCTCTCCGGGCCTCTTCCGCGGCCGCCTTCTGGGCCACCGCGTCGGCCTTGCGGGCCTGGCCCTGGGCCTTTTTGCTGCTGGCCTCGGCCGCCTTTCTTCCACCACCCGCCATGATGAGGGTAGAATGTCGTGTGGGAGGGGGACGTGGGCCGTTGTCGGATGCTCAGTGGCGCGTGTTGGAAGCCTGAATGCACAAAACGGGTTGGGCGTGGGTGTATTGAATGCGTAGAAACGGAAGGGATCGCAATTGCGGTGTGCGAAGCAAACAGGGGGATGTAGAAATTCGAGAATTCGGGAATTCGAGAAATTCGATAAAATAAAATGACGTGTGCGGCTTTGTCTTTGTCGAGTGGGCGTGGCTCTGTCTCGGACGACTAATGAAAGTCTTGCTCTCCAATTTGTCTTGGTATGATTTTCAGGTAGTTGATTTTGGTGCCTCGCTGCGCCCGCAAGCCTGCGCCTAGCCTGGTCAGGACATTCCTTCCTAGCTTGTTTCTCGGTCGTTCTTGCTTCTTTCGTACACCAAGTCGTACACCAAGAGCTGCGCCAGTCGCAAGTACGTCGTAAGCCCGATCAGCAGAGAAACATCAGAGCAACAGCCTTACGAGCCCAATGAACCACAGAAAGAAGATAGGATGGACTGTTTACAAACGCACCTTCGTTGGTGCACCTGCCGGGAGAGCATGGAAAAGCAAGACAGGCTGCAGCGGGGCACTGTTCCGGGCATGCAACAGAGCCCTTGGGTGGCAGGAGCGAGACAGCACAGGATTATTTTGTCTTGAAGTGCAAGACTAGGCATGGCGACACGGAACACAAGAAGGTGCATCCGGTCAAAGAGACAAGCAGGTAAGCAGTCAGGGATGCATGGAGGCAAGGAAGGTGCAGAGGAGCGGTGGCGATGTTGTGGACTCCCGCCTCTGGATCGCCTTCTTTCTTATCTCTCCCGACGAAGGTGGGCAGTTGCTGTCACAGAAACGAGACAGGGAAGGTACGACGCAGCAGGGGCGAGAGGGCATATCCAGCACCTCTTTTTACTTCGTACTCAAATTCTCTGTTGTATCCGCCACCGACTTGTGCAGGACTATCAACAACGCAAGTGCGTCGTGTGGCAAGTAGAAGTGCATCGTGAGCGTAACAAAAACTGCCTGACCAACCACATGTTCATCTCGCTCCATGTCAGCAGACACCAACCGCCTAATGCAGAATCTGGGAAAAAATGAGAGAGAGAAAAACGCCAACTTTGAAAAAAGAAAGCACAATAGAAAACGTCGTGATATCGTTGGCAGAAACCGCGGCCCACTCTCTCTTGCAACCATTTCGGCGCCGAAATTCAACAAAGTAGTGTCCAACTTGTGCATTTTTGTATGCGTTCATTTGTTGTACCATCGTCTCTCGACCCGCAGATTGCGGCCGACTGACCAGTCCCTGTCAGGTTTATTGTGCATTTTTGTCTCTTGACCGTTTTGCTGCACACCCCCTTGTGCATGGCTGTAAAATCATCAAACAATAAGTCCCTTCTAGGACATGAAAGGGTAGCCGGATGCAAGGACAAATAGACGAGGCAGATGCAGGGTTGAGGTCACAAGACTGATTTGGCGGCAGGAACATGACAAGAAGAGAAACTGATGTGGCTCGCTTCCGTTCCCCCTTGCCTCACAGCGAGCCTTCATAAGGGAGCCGTTGGCAGGGTGTCGGATACCGGGTGTATTTTTCTACTTTTCTTCTGCGTTTTGCACGTCTCCCGAAACTGCCCTTATCTGTTCAGCCCTTTATATGCTGCATGCTGCATGCTGTTGTGCGACGACCGTTTCCGTAAAGGCACATTGTACGAAATACTGCAGCCACGAACCAGACCTGCCTGACCTGCGCTCACTGCAGGATGAGCACGCAGAAGAGCACACCATGTCAACATGATTGTATCAAATCAAAACATTTTCATGAGCGTCCCATAGTTTGCATCACCTCGCGGAGGCGCTATTTTGCTTCCGGCGGCCACTCGTCCCTTGCGTCTGCATATTGCAGCTTACGCTGTAATACATTGACGACGCACCTATCCGCTACCTGGCTTCATATTTCGTTTTATGGACGCCCGAGAAACACTGCATTTGGAGGTATTGTCCCGGACGTGAGAAAACCAAGCTGCGCCTGCCGGGCAATTTCAATACGCCGCTTTCCAATAGAGCTCGGGCACTAGTGCATGTCTCAATAAATGGAATCAAATTTTACCAGGTACGAATGGGATATGACAAGGACGACATGTCTGCAGTGAAACATGCACCTTGTCATCAATGTCTTTGTGGCTATTTTCTTGTCTTTTACTTCGTCCTCAGCCGCCTTGTTTTCTGTAAACGCCATTCCCGTACAACTTCCGGTTCACGTCCGTGAAAAAAAGCACGGACAGGAAAAGAATAAAAATGCTTCTGCCACATGAAAAGAAAGACTGGCGCGAAATGACTAATACGGAGGATATTCTCTGTAGACGAACACAAGCGAGGGGTCACCGCATGTGTTGTGGATGCCATCCTAACCCCCAGAACTTGCGGAATTTATTGTCCTTCAATGCCGGATGATGTACCATGCAAGGATTCAGGAAGCAGATAAAAAAGTCCGTGGTGTGCATGCCATCTAATGTGCAGTAAGTGTCACAAGGTTAAGAGAAGCTGTGTTTTCTGTTGAGAATAAATAGTTTCGTCTCACGTATACGCAGAGACGCCGACTTGACCTCAGTGATGCCATCTCACCGGTATATGGAACACTGCAGTTGGGGGCCATGCAGACCAACATTGGGGGCCGGCGGCTGGGGCCTCGTGAACAAAAGAACGACTTGATTTCTTTTCGGAAATGTACCATGAAACCGCTCTCCGAGTCGATATTTGGTCGTCCTTTTCGTCTGGCGGGTTTTGCGCCCATAAATGTGACTGCCAAGGGTGATACCTGTGAGGTCATGCCTCTTACCCTGCAGCCTCCCGTTGACCGTGTCCGTTGGATCCATGCATATGCGAATCAAAAGAAGGAAGTGGTACCCATCAATCACAACGCATATTGTGTGCAGCCGAGTTGAGAGGCGAGGGAAATAAGTGATACCAAAGAGGCACTATGCCAGCGGTGGTCAAATAGCACCGAGATGTACAGAGTACAATGCACTTCGCAACACGAGAGACTTTCTGGACCAATCGCCAAACCGGCGATCGCAATGCGACCTCACAGTATCGAAGAGATTGTGATAATGAGGAAATGTGAGAGGGCTGCCACAAAACCACAAGCGCTTGTGCGGGACTTGGGAAGACCGGTGTGACAAGGAAACACGGCCTTGCATGTCCTTCCCGTGTTTCCTTTCCACTCCCGTTGGCATTTGTATTTGGACCATTTTACAACACCAGGTGCATCCCATGTTCCTTTTTTTAAACTTCTTCCTGTTGGTTTCTTCTTTTTTTTTTTGTCGCTGGCTTTTTGAAGCAGGGAACTGTGATTGCAAATGGTGACTTCTCGCTTGAGCAGGACTGTCACTCTGTAATGCTTTCACACATCCCCTTTTGGAAATGAGATGCCGATGCCGAGTCAAAGAGCGTAGTCTCGGGAAGAGTGGTGAGTGGATGGGTCGAATGTGGCTTTTTTTTCTCTTTCCCATTGCAGCAGACAAGGTCCCCATGCTCGCAGATGAACAAATAGGCACACCGCTTGTCTCCCATCGTTGTCGAGGAGGCATGCCACCTGCCTGTCTCAGAGGCGAGGAATGTATGTTGGTATTTGGCCTCAAAAAAGTCTATACGAAAAGGAGGTGTAGGGCTGCCACCTGAGAGCGAACCATGATGATGCGTCAATATTGTTGATGCTTAGTTTTACGTTCTCATGAGAAGCCTGGACATACCTTCACTCTTCTCATACCCTGTACAAGAGGCTCCGGGCAACAAATGTCCGTACCTGCCCATGTCACGATGATCGTTTAGGACTTCCGTGGTGTGTTTACGCATGCTGAATGCCGCGAGTATCATTTACAGTTGCGTTATTCTTGCACAGATCTGCCCGATGATACTGAAGTGTCCTACATTATCTTGTAGGGGAGGCATCCAAGCAGATGGCCAGCGCTCCTTGGCAGACTTCAGGTGCCTGTTCGTCCGTGATACTGGAGGAATGTGCCTTCAAGCTTTCTGTTTCGTACCGCTTAACCATTCGTTATGGTCCACGATAGCGTCTCTCGTGCATGTATTGGACGTCGAGAAGGACAGAAAATGGAACGCTACCTTTGTGTTCCGGTCACGGATAGATGCGTCGTTTGCTAAAAGATCGCTAAGCATCTTGCTGGCTCAAGAGTGTCTGAGCAAAATGCCGACGATTGTCAAAGTTTCACCACGCATCTCTCTTGGGTTGCCCTGGCAAGGACTGCTGTGAATAATATAGATTCAGCGTTGTGAGCGTAATATAGAAGGAAATCTGAGCAGGGGATAAAGTTTGACAGCTCCGACAGCGTGGCGAGAGTTTCACTGCTCCGGTAGCTTACAAGTTTCCTTCTGTCGTGAAAAGCGATGGCAGGGGATTTTTTTGGGGTCAAACCTGCAACCACTTACACGAGTTACGGATAGACTCTACCGTGCCCATGGTCAATACATCGTAGAGAAACACCTACCGTTCCCATGTTGGTGGACGACACAGCACGTCGGATGCCGATAATATATGCGTAAAGACTATTGATTTCGATAGAAGTGAAGTGTTCGGTAGACGGGGAGTCGCTCAAATGGCGTTGAAGATACTCTTGCTCACGCTGACACGTCGGGCCGACGGGTAGTGTTGCGTATCAATCGTGGAGAACGTCGGAAACGTGATCTTGCATTCGCTGGCTCGGGACGAGTCGCGAGTGTGAAGCTTATCACAAGGTTGAACCCATCGCGGCCACTGCTGCAATGGTGGCCAGGAAGGGATAGTCAAAATGCCTGTCAGCGTATCAGCTGTTGGTCAGGTCTTTGAAGAAGCGGGCCATATTCGCAGTCCAAGCCATGTACGGAGCACTTCGTATTCTGTTCCACACGCCCCGCGCTGTCGCTTGTCGCGGCTTGATGCTGATTTTTGAGATGGGGAAGAATAGAGTATCGTAGAGAATATCTTGGACGACAAAGC